TAATGTTAGTTAATTTTTAACATTGATACAATATTGAAAACATAGTACAGTCTATATTGTGTATCTAATAAATTCAACAAGGCAATCACCTACGTCGCAAATGAGGTTAGGTTCAGGGCAGGTGTTGTCGTAGCGGTGATATGCAAGAAGTACCGGGCGGGGCTGTTAAGCATGGGTGAATGGGCAGGAAGCACAGGCTGTCAACGAGTTAATACTGACCAACGATAACAGCGGTGACCTTGTAACACTGTGGTCAGTTAAAAAGTGGTGGGGGTAAAATCGAGATTATAAATACCTATGAATCACCGCAAATTATCTTGTCAGTTATCTGCAGCGAACAGACGTGCTCAGTTCAGATTTAGTCGCTAGTTAACCTTTTAGTTTTTAAAAAATGGAAAAATTCTTCATCGTTAAGGATTCTACTAAGAAGATTAAAAAATTTAATCTATATGGGCGAGAAGTGGAATTTAAAATACGACCTATCCCTAAAGACGTCGAACCTGTGGGATGGATCAAAGACGCTCTGGAGGAAATAGTAGCCAAAGGAACTGAACATCTCCAGCCCAGTGATCAAGTTGGATTCACTTTCTGTTCCAAAGACTTTACCCGCGGTCAAGGATGGATAGCTTTTAAATTGTTTTCCGACGTTTCAATTGAGGACATATGGGAGAAGATATCTTCCATCTATCAGTCAAATTCTGTGGGGTTGAATACCGAGACTTTTTGCTTGGGTATTACGTCCGTAAGGTTACCTGCTGGTCGTGGTAGAGCTCAGAATTTCAATACCTTTGATGAGGAATGCGCCAAAACAAAAGGCATTATCACCGTTAAAAACACCGATAATTTGTGTCTCCCACGAGCCCTTGTCATCGCCATGGCCCATTTGAACAAAGACAAAGATTATAGCAGAATCCGCCTCGATCGAGGAAAAATACAAGGACAAAGAGCTGTACAACTTGTGGAAAAGGCTGATATTGTTATCCCTGAGGAGGGGTGTGGAATACCTGAACTTCAAAAGCTACAACGATATCTGCAAAACTACAAAATTGTTGTATACAAGTTTGGGTGCAAAGGTCGTGACGTCATTTTTGAAGGCGTGTCCGCTGGTCCGACGCTTAACCTAATATATCACGAGGGGCACTACAGCGTCATAACATCCCTCACTGCTGCCTTTTGCTGCAGCTTTTTTTGTGAGAACTGCCACATTCCGTATAATACTAAACAAATTCATAGATGTGATAAACAATGTTATGCTTGTAAAAGATCTCCGGCTTGCCTGAAAACGAAGCACATCAAATGCAAAGAATGTAATAGAAGCTTTTATGGACAAGAATGTTTTAACGCTCATTTACCATCGGTCTGTTCTAAAATTAAAAGATGTGTAGACTGTTTTAAAGTTCACAACGGTAATGATCACATCTGCGGACATATACTTTGTAAAACATGTTATAAAAATCAACCAATTGAACATATGTGCTATATACAGCCTGACAGAAGTATTCCTAAATCAAATGATGTCTTATTAATATTTTACGATTTGGAAACCCGTCAGGAGAAGGAATTACCCAATGGATCTTTACTTCATGAGCCAAATCTATGTGTATTCAAACAATGTTGTGAATCATGTACCGATAATCCTATATGCAAGAAATGTGGCCTTCGATTACAGATTCTTCGATGTCAAGACGTCATTTCTCCATTTATGCATCATATTCTGACACTTCGTAAAAAATTCAAGAAAGTCATTGTACTGGCGCATAATGGTGGAGGATTTGATCATCAGTTTCTACTTCGTTACATTTTAGAGAAGACTAGTCTGTACCCTAATGTAATTATGAGAGGAACAAAATTAATATTGATGGAGGTAGGAAATGTAAAATTTCTGGATTCTCTCAATTATTTTCCTATGCCTCTAACTGCTCTACCCAAGGCGTTTGATTTGAAAGAGCTAAAGAAAGGATACTTTCTACATTTATTCAACACTTTGGCTCATCAGAATTATGTAGGGCCAATTCCAGCGCTCGACTTCTACGATCCCGACCATTTAAAGGAAGACGCTCGGGAAAAATTATTAAAATGGCATGGCGAAAGACAAGCGGAGGGATACGTTTTTGATTTTCAGAAAGAAATCGTTGAATACTGTATCTCCGATGTGGAAATATTGACACAGGCGTGTCTCAAATTTCGAGACCTAATGAAAACCGAAACCACAGTCGATCCCTTTCAGGAAAGCACCACTATTGCATCATGCTGTAACAAAGTCTTTAGACGCAATTTTTTAAAACCTGAGACGATCGGGGTAATTCCAAAAGGAGGCTATAGATGGCGTGAAAATCAGTCAAAAATTGCCATTCAATGGATGTTGTGGGAGAAACATCAAAGAGGAATCAAAATTCAACACGCCGCTAAGGGTATCGAAATCATTGTTAAGGGACAAAAAGTAGACGGTTTTTGTAGCGACACAAATCAAGTGTTTGAATTCCAAGGATGCTATTTTCACGGCTGCCCTCGATGTTTCAAATACAACAGAAGCAATCCTCTGCATAATGATCCGTTGAATACATTGGAAAGTCGATACGAACAATCAGTTAGCAAAGTAGAGAGACTCCGAAGCCTTGGACTAGAAGTAATTGAGATATGGGAATGTCAATTTCGAGGGATGCTAAACGATGAAATTAGAGCGTTCACAGAAGCACATCCATTGATAATCAATTTACCGATTAACCCCAGAGACGCTCTCTACGGGGGACGTACAGAAAATATCGTTGAATACTACAAAATCAAAACAAATGAATGCATAAAATATGTCGATATATGTTCCCTCTACCCCTTCATCTGTAAATATGGAAAATTTCCGGTGGGTCATCCAAAAAAAATTTACGTAGGTGAAGAATGTGTTACAGCCTCTCTGCCGCAGATGTCAGGACTTATTAAATGCCAGATTCTACCGAACCAGAACTTATATCACCCCGTTTTACCGTCAAAAATGAACAACAAATTGATGTTTGTTAACTGCCAAAAATGTGGTGAAGATTTCGTTCGAGAAGAGTGTCAGCATTCTATTCAAGAAAGAAGCATAAAAGGAACTTGGGTGATAGAAGAGGTGCTCAAAGCTATTGAAAAAGATTACCAGATTATAGAGACTTACGAAATATGGGAATACGACACAATTCAGCTCAGTAAAGACCAAGAGGGGTTATTTAGCGGAATGATGAACAAATTTCTTCAAATAAAACAACAAGCTTCAGGATGGCCCAAACATTGCTTAACGGATGAAGAAAAAAACCGTTATATTGATGCATTTTTGGATAGAGAAGACATAAAGCTGGAATTTTCAAAAATTATAGAGAACCCCTGTTTGAGATCGTTAGCTAAACTTATGCTGAATTCTTTTTGGGGTAAATTTGCTCAAAAAGAAAACCAAAACAAAACCTCAATAGTCAGAGACTGTGGTGAATTCTTTGATATGCTGACTAATCCTTCTATTCATGTAAATACAGTTCTCCCGGTAAACGAAGAAACCCTTCTCATAACTTGGGAATTTAGAGAAGAGGCCTATGACGTTTCTTCAACGGTTAACGTTGTATTGGCTTCATATGTCACGGCCCTAGCTAGACTAAAATTATATTCATTCTTGGAGAAAGTGGAAGAAAGGGCAGTTTACGTAGATACAGATTCATGTATTTATATCTCTCGTAAGGGATTAGACGACATATCTACAGGCGACTTCATAGGTGATATGACCGATGAGCTCAATGGGGGTTTCATATCAGAGTTTGTTTCTGGAGGACCTAAGAACTACGCCTACAAATATACTACTTTGTCTGGAGAGGAACAGATCGTATGTAAAGTAAAAGGCATATCACTCAACTACAAGGCATCCCAAGTAGTCAATTTTGAGAAAATAAAAGACATGGTGCTGAAGAAATCTGATCCTGTTTCTGTACTTTCTCGACAGCTACGACGTACAAGAGAGCATGCAGTAGTAACAGTCGAGTTTCCTAAGGTATACAAGATAACTTCAATGAAAAGGAAATTCTATGAAGATCATACCTCTGTACCATTTGGATTTAAGAAAATAAAATATTGATTTATTAATGTATGTAAATATTTTTTAATAAACATGTAAAATAAAATGTATGCAAATGATTTTTTGTTTTTTATTTCCCGCCTAATTGAAAAATATTTTTGCACCCGAAATTGTTCAGCCTTTTTACTCCATATAAAAATATTTAAAAGTATGCATTGTTATTATTAAACGTCTGCAGTAATATACACCAAAAAATTGAGAAGCAGTGTAACCATGTAGAACTTTGTATAATCACAAAAAAAACATATCTTGGAAAATAAAAAATACAGCAGATTCATAAGCAGTGTAGAGAGGAAACTACGTAAAAGTAATCGATTATTACTAATAAAATAGAGTTTTGAATTCCTATTTTTACAATAATAATCATTTTACTATCTTACGTGTTGGGCACTGCACTGCACGGGTACCAACACTGTACTGCACGGGCACGAAAAATTGAGAAGCATGATAACCATGTAGAACTTCGTATCACCACGTAAATGGTTATTACGAAAAGTAGAAATAAAAACTCTATTTTCGATAATAGCTATACTATTTTTTATGAGCACCGAAAAAATTGAGAAGCACGATAACCTCATAGAACTTCGAAACAGCACCAGAGACAACCGAAGGCTACAGAAAAAAAACACATACTGAAAAGGCATAACATCTATCAGCGCTGGTATCCGATAATACTGTTTCCTTTGACATTCGTTGGGATATGAAAACACATATTTGCTTCCCACCGTTATAACGGAAATAATAGTTACTGCAAAAGCAGTTTCACAATAAGACCATAGGGGAGACCGAGGTGGGTTGTGACAGAGGGGAGTTGTGACAGAGTAGATTTCTCATAACCTATGATCGCTAGCAAATTGGCAACAACGCGTATTTATTGCTTGAAAGACAAAGCATGAGCTGTAGTTTGTGCCCCTGGTCTAGAAGGAACGGTTGCGTCTGAACAGCATTCTCGTCTAGAAAAATACCAAAAGTAAGTTTTTGACCGATGCTTTGATATCCTATTATGCGATACGAGTTACGTTAATTTTGCTGTGCAATTTTTTCTACTGTTATTTGGTCTTTCAAGTCTCAAACCATGGTACTGTTTCTTTGGGTTTGCCACGTGGTTTTAGGTTATGAGCATTAATTCCGATAGGAGCACGTTATTTTGTACCTAGGAGAATTGTGACAGCGTGTCACAACTCTCCTAGGTATTTTCTTTTTTTTTTGTCGTTAGTGTGTGTGTGTGTGTGTGTGACTGCATACTGAATCGCCATTTTTTTTAGATGCCCAATAAATATGTGAGGAAAACTGATAGAGGCGTGTCCAGTGCCGAAATATATGAACTAGCCTTTGAAGAGGTGACGTTTAGGGGACAAAGCCTCAGGAGTGCTGCATCTGCTTACAATATAAACTATATGTCTTTACAGAGATATATTAAAAAGAAAAAAGCATACCAGGCCAACTTGACAGACAAGCCTCCATCGGTCGGGTATGTCAGTCAGACAGTTTTTTTGAAAGACGAAGAAAACGTACTATGCGAATATTTGTTGACTTGTGCGGCATCTAATTACGGATTAACAACAAAAGAGACAAGAAGATTAGCCTATATGTTAGCAAAAAAGCATGATAAGAAATTTCCGACATCGTGGGAGGAAAATAAAATGGCAGGTGAAGTATGGCTGAAGCTATTTATGGAGCGCCATCCAATTTTATCCTTGAGATTGCCTCAACCCACAAGTATAGCTCGCGCTACGAGCTTCAATAAAACTAACGTGGCGGCCTTTTTTAAGAATTACACAGGTGTCCTGACCAAGTAAGCACTTGAGGCAAAAGATATTTGGAATGTTGACGAAACTGGAATTACGACAGTGCAGAAACCTGACAGGATCATTGCGCGACGCGGTGAAAAACAGGTCAGCGCAATGACGTCGGCTGAGAGAGGAACGCTAGTGACGCTAGCCTTGGCCGGAAATGCTGTTGGTAACTACATACCTCCTTTCTTCATATTTCCACGTAAAAGATTCCAAGATCACTTCATTCGAGATGGCCCAACTGGTTCAGTAGGAACAGCTAATGGATCTGGGTGGATGCACGAGGACGACTTTTACTTGTTCCTTAATCATTTCATCAACTACGCGAGACCATCAAAGGAGAAGAAAGTGTTGCTACTTTTAGATAACCACTCGTCGCATATGGCTTTGAAAAACATTGAGTTTTGTAGGGAACATGGTGTGATTTTGCTTACGTTTCCTCCTCACTGCACTCACAAGCTCCAACCGATGGATCGTGCTATTTTTGGTCCTCTGAAGAAGGCTGTAAATACAGCTTGTGATAATTGGGTGCACACAAATGCTGGCAAAGTTATGTCTATCTATGACATTCCATCAATTACAAAAACAGCATTTGATGTGGCGATGATGGAGGTGGAGAATATTCGAAAGCCCCTTCTAATAAAATTCTTCCTGATAATGAAGACGCTGCAATCAATTCGACAAAAACACCTGCCGGCAGTTCGTTCATTTGCAGCAAAAATGTCAACGAGCCTGCAAAGACTGAACATATCGCCTCCACATCTACAGCTCGTAGCCCACTCGTCACTATATCCAATGAATTCTCACCGGAAGCTCTTAGACCTTTGCCAAAAGCTCCTCCAAGAAAAGGACACCAACGGAATAGACGTAAAATCAGATCTGCTGTGCTTACTGACACACCTATTAAGGACGAAATTGCTGCTATAGAAGCAAGCAGGAAAAATGTTAAAAGACGTATTTTTAACAAGGATAATTCTAAAAAAGCAAAGAAGATGAATAGTAGGAAGAACCAAACCGATGATGAAGAGGAAGAAGAAGAAAACGACTGTTTCTGTCTATGTTGTCTTGAACCATTTGCAAACAGCAAGTCCAGAGAAAAATGGGTCCAGTGCATCGATTGCAAGGGATGGTCACATGAAGCTTGCACTGGAGGAGAGCTCCTCTATGTATGTCACAATTGCTTATCGGACTAGATTGTGGGCGGAACTAACTTTTTATTTTCACTCACATAATCCCAAAGAGTTGTCATATTCTGTTAAAATTATTATAAGAATAATGTTCATGTTATTAATATAATATACCCAACAATTTCAGTAGTTTGTTCCCTTGCAATTGCAAAATATGTTGCTGTCACAACTTACCTCGACCTTTGTCACAATTTACCTCGATACTAGGAGAGTTGTGACATGAAGAACTGTTCTAGTTTTCGTAAAATTCCTCTGGGAACCTAATTGCTTTCATCAATTTCGGGTCTGTTTTACACAGCTGACAGAACTAGCTATATACAGTACCAAAATTATAAGCATATGACCATTTTTTACTGAGATATGCTTGTTAAAGTGAAAATTGTCACAACCCTCCTTGGTATCCCCTACATTAATCTACAAAGTTGATAATAAAACATATGTACTATTAAAATGCAGATATTTTTAAAATTATACAATTAAAAAATCAAAATAATATATTATAAATGGTAGGGGATACAGGGTAAACACCGAAATATACTTAATTTAGAATAGTTACTTATAATCTCCTCAGTTCTTTGGTCAGCCGTATCGACAATTTACCGGTGGGTCCTCTATTTTTGTGCATGTAAAAGGTTAGACTATGGCGCTAGCAAAAAAAAAACAAAATGCAACAAAGTAGAGTCACTTAATATTCTTGTTGAAGTTACGGATAGAATATGGTAGAAAGTAACAATCAGATATTGTAGAAGCCATGTAATTGTTTAATTGTTGAGGAAAAAGTATTTTTCATACGCTGACCATGTTTATGTCCGCTTGGTACGCGACCAGATTTTTTCCAAACCTTTGCCCGTAGGGTTCATGAGCCTACGACCAAATGTGTCGTCGAAGGGGAATTTTTGGCCAAATTCGGTCGAAACCGATGCTGCGTTCGTACCCTAGAGCCTACGAACAGCGACTCAAACTTAATTTTAATTGATTTGCAAAGATCTTGCTAGAATACTTGAGCTAGTGATTATATGCAATTTATCGGTGACGAGCTTTCCTCTAGCATATCTTGATTTATTCAAGCGAATCAATGAGAAACTAGTGAATAAAATTACCTGACAGCCATAGTACAAGTTGGTATATCTACACCTTCTCTTACATTTGGCGCCACTAAAATGTTAATCTCCTTGTTTCTAAAAACGATCAAGTACTTATCTGTTCTTCTTATTAATCGGAAGTGATTCTACGGTGCTATTAAAAGAGTTTCCGTTATATCCCACAACGAAATCCGGCTTTATATGTCTGAACTCTGGTACATGTTCACTCAAATCTTTCAGTACATGGTGCAATATTTTTGGCAGTTGATCTTTCCTTCGTGAATATTAAATCACAAATGTCTTCGTTTGAAGATGAACTGTTGAAAAGTGTTACGTTTATATTAGTATTAATATTTATGACATTTACTTTTTTTAAAATAGTTAAATACTACGATAAACTGGGAATGTGGGATGAAGCAGAAATGTTTCTGTAACCCAATTTAGGTATGTATAGCAAGTCTTACGCAAGACAATAATAAAAACAGATAGAATTCGAGGGCGATTCTTGGAAGAAAAATTCATAGTATTTCTAAGGCTACACCGACCGGAGTGCTATAATTTTAGCATACATTTACAGGTTATAGGTCTAATGATAAATAGAAAGTGATTAAAATTTTAACTTCAATTTTCGTAAAATAGCTGAGATATGCCATCTTGCAGTAGCCTGGAATGAAATACCCGACAGGTTACCCATCACCTGATAGTCTGTGGTTCTCGCCGCTAGATGACGCTACATACAAACGTCATCTGTCAAACGTTATGTGTATCATTGATAAGTGTGAGTTGTGTCTCTAAGCGCTAGATGGTGTCGATGTCGCACTGGTGTCGTAGAGTGACCCACATAAAGTTTGGCAAACGGATCTGCAACATCGGGGTATCGGTGAGGGGAAAGCAAAACATGGCTGGTTTCATTCATAAAATGCCAGCGGCGTGCGGTATTTTATAAAAGTTTGGGATTATTTCATAATTGGTTTAAATTTAGTAAACTATACGTTTATGTTTCACTTTAAATTTGGGGAGTATCTCAATAAGCCCACAATGATATGGAGCATTGTCCATAATAATAAATAGTCTCGGGTAAACTCAAAAATAGCTGTATCTCTACAATCTACACCATGTAAAAAAACACTTGAGTTTGTTTCTACACTTCAACAAACGGAAAAATGTCTACTCACTTCCCAAAATTGCCACAATTCAAAAAATCATGATAACTGCGCGATTTAAAACCTAAATCAAGCTAGCGTTTTTGTCAAAGCCGTAAATAAAATATATTTTTCAAATACAAATAGATACTTAACGTGCTTTTTTACCTTGAGAATATATATATATATATATATATATATATATATATATATATCCGCATCTTTCTGGATTCCTATTGTTGCAATTTTGGACTGTTGATGTGGATATTTCTAGAGCATCGGTGTCGCTTAAGTAGAAACAAAGAACTTTAAACACATTTCATATCCGTTTAACTTATAACCTCTGTAATAAATAATACTTACATTATACAGCATTTCAAAATTACATTTCACCTATTGAATTAGCATTGGTGTTCGTCAACTTCATCATTATCATCATCGTCACTGTCGTCATCAGTTTCGCTGTCGTCATCTTGCCCTATAGTTATTATAACTGGTTCCATTTCCTCCATAAATTGATCATTTTCCCAAAATTTATCTTCAATGTCCCTAGCATGTTGACAAAATGTCTGCCAATCATTAATGGATATTAAGGACATCGCTTCCTGAGTAACTTCTTTCAGTGCGGTTAAACTGAAGTTTCCAGTGGTATTGCGGCTTCTTATATGAAATTTAAGCTTTGCCCAAGCTAATTCTATTAGGTTTAGCTCGCATAAATAAGGAGGTGTTCTTAGAGGAGTATGTCCATGTGATCTTATGATCCGATCAACTACATAATTTTTTTGGTTGTCAGGGGGCTTATGAAGTAAGACCAGATCGAACAAGTCAAATTTTCTGGCAGTTGCCTCATGATTTATGCCTATAAAAAATTTTATTGTATAGTTTGATATGTACATGCATGTTTTGAGTCATAAGTACCTTTCTTTGTCAACCAGGCCATTATATCTTTTTTCGAAGATGATTTTGTCGGGGTTTTATCTTCCTGGACGGAATGATATGGAGCATTGTCAAATACTATAACCGAATTGGCAGGTATATTCGGGAGGAGTTTTTCTGTGAGCCAGCGTGTGAAATTTTCCCGATTCATCTGACCGTGGTAATCGCCTGTAGCTAATCCCGCCTTAAATATCAAACAGGCATTGTCAACAAATCCATTTTCTGAACCTGCATGCACTATAATGAGTCGACCTAAAATATACAAGACGATTATATAATATGTTACAAATCAGAGTTAAATTTAACATATATATATAGCATTTTTGCTTACCTGTAGAACCTATACTGCTTATTACACCAGAAACAGTTTCGCTCTGCCAGCATTTTTTGAAAGTCAAGTCATTGTCCATCCAGGTTTCGTCCAAATAAACTATATTGCGCCCTTCTTCACGATATCTACGTATTTCACGGATGTATTTGTACCTCCATTGCAATATATTGGGCCTCTCCATCAAAACTTTTCTTTTATTTTGACATTTGCGCCAAAAAAAACCATTTGATTTTAATAAACTCCTGAGAGTTTCCCTAGAATAGGGGAAATTTGAGTCTTCTCGCAACTTTTGTAATAACTTCCTAGTTGTCGGGACAACTTTATATTC